CCGCCCCCCCAAATCCAGCAGGGGGTGAGCAGAGGGGGCACTCGAGTCCCTGCTCTCTGTCTCAGAGCCCCCACCCGATCTGGGGTTGTGTCACTCAGCCACCATGGATGGCTTAGTCCTGGGGACAAGCAGCCGCCTGGGGTGGGTCGGTGGGTCGGGACTCAGGGGGGGGAGGAGGAGGGAGCCCGTCCCTGGGTGCTGCCCCCATCCAGGGTGGCTTCTGCCCTGCTCCCACTGCTGCTGAAGATGTTGCCCAGGGTGAAGAGCAGCTGTGGTGGGTCCCAGCCCCAGGACCCCCATGTACCCTCCCTTAGCCCCTCTGCAGGCTCCTCATGGAGGCCCGGCGGGGCTCATGCTGGCTGTGGGGCCACCACCCAGGGGCCTGGTGACAGTGGGGGGCTGCTGCCCGAGGGAGAGGAGTCCCCAGGCTCAGCCCTCAGTGATGAGCCTCATTCTCCGTGTCCCCCAAAAAGACAGGGAAGGTGACAGGGGACATCCCCTCTTTCCAGACCCTTGGAACCCATCCTGCAAAGGTCCCTGTCCTGGGGCTGGGCTAACGTGGCCCTGGCTCCTTGCCTGAGGCCAGGGGTGAGTGGGGTCCCCTGTGCTCCTGTCACGGGTCTTGTCCCCTGAGCACAGAGGGGGTGTCGTTCCTGGGTTGCTGCTGCAGTGGATCCAGCAGCGCCACCCGCCCAGACCCCACCACCTCCCCGGGGAGGCCAAAACCCTCCCGGGCTCCTGTGGGGAGGTGACCCAGTGCCAGCGAGCTCGTGCTGGTGCTCTCCCCCCAGCCACCCTGTGCCCAGCGGTTTCCAGCGGGGTGCAGGTGCCTGTCCCTGTGTCACCAGCTGATGGTTTGTCCCCTCCGTGTCCCCAGGCAGGCGGTGGTGGGGTTGAGACGGGATGGGGGACTGGAGCATGCCCATCAGCTCGCTGGGCGAGGAGGTGATGGCCCGGCTCTGCCAGCTCCTGGATAACGCTGGCCGGGGCTGGCGCAAGCTGGCCGAGGTGGCCGGGGCGGAGAAACGCTTCAAGTGCAGGTAGGGGCTGGGGGGGGCATCTCTGGGGGTCCATCCCCCGCAGGGTGACAAAATGCACTTGGCACAGCCCTGCCATGGGCTGAGAGAGGGGCAGGCGGGTCCCTTGGCCACCCCATTGTGGCCACAGCCTGGGCTGGGGGCATTGCTGAGTCCCCCGGTGGGATCCCCCATCCTCCCGGTGCCGGAGGTGGGCTGCGGCACTGAGCACTGCGGGCGCCTTGCAGCGCAGAGGAGCTGGAGATGTGCTCGCTGAAGGTGCTGGAGCCCCATGGCAGCCCCACGGAGTGCCTCCTGCAGCTCCTGGCCGAGCGTGACTGCACCCTCAAATACCTGCTGGGCTGCCTGGAGAGGATGGGGCATACACGGGCCTGCCAGGTTCTCAGCAGCGCTGGTAGGGACGGACAGCAGGGTCCCATGGGGCCTGGAGAGGGTCACTGGGGGACAGTGGCTCAGCAGAAGCAAAGCAGGGGGAGATGAGGAGCAGCTCTTCCTGCTGATGGTCTCGTTCTGGGTAGTGGAGCCCTGGGATGAGATGGGATGGAATGGATGCAGTACGGAGCCCTGGGATGAGATGGGATGCAGTAGGGTGGGATGGGATGGATGCAGTAGGGTCAGAGAGGATGGGATGTGGTGTGCTGGAATAAGGGGGTGGGCAATGGGATGTGGTGGGACAAATCATGATGGGATGAGATGGGATGGAATGGATGCAGTAGGGTGGGATGGGATGGGATGGGATGGATGCAATAGGGTGGGATGGGATGGGATGGATGCAGTGGGATGGATGCAGTAGGGTCAGAGAGGATGGGATGTGGTGTGCTGGAATAAGGGGGTGGGCAACGGGATGTGGTGGGACAAATCATGATGGGATAAGAAGGGATGGAACAAGGTGGAGTGAGATGGGACCGGGTACAATAGGACAAGATGGGATAGGGTGGGGTGAAGAAGAGTCGGGTGGGATAGGATGGAACAAGATGAGCTGGGGTGAGTGGGATGGCAGTGAGTGGGACAAGGGAAGGTGAGATGGCTGGGACAGGACAGAGGGGTGGGATGGGACAGGGTAGGATGGGAGAGGACAGGTTGTTGTGGGCAGGTGTGGGACAGGGCAGGATGGGACTAGATGGGATGGGATGATGCAGGATGGTGGTCTCAGCCAGCCCAGGCTGGTCTCTCCTCTCCCACAGTCCAGGACATGATCCGCATCACAGTGCAGCCGGAGTCGCAGGTGGTGATGGAGGGGATGCGGGTGTTCCTGACCTGCTGGGCCACCGGTCCCCCGGGGCTCGCCTACCAGTGGTTCTGTGGGAAGCGGGAGGTGAGGTCCTGCTGCGCCCCATTGAGCAGGGCCCCCAAGCCCCATGATGGCGAGAGCACCAGGATGGGTGGGAGGGACCCCCTGGGAGGGACCCCCCTCCGACTCTTTGTCTCTTAGGTGCCTGGAGCCACGGCCCCAGAGCTGGTGATCAACGCGGCCACCCCGGGCCAGCCCGAGTGGTACATCTGCCGGGTGAACTGTGGGGCCGCCTTCGCCTTCTCCAGGTGGGCCCACGTCCAGGTGGAGAGGAGCAGCAGCCCCAGCTCAGGTGGGCCCCAAGATCTGCATCCCTGGGCTGGCACCCATGGGTCACCACTTGCCCCATAGTAGGGCATGGCTTGCCACGTTACGCAATGGCTCAGCTGTGAGGGTCTCTGGGCTTGCTGGGGTGATGGTGCCCACGGAGGAGTTGAATGTCCCGTGTCCTCTGGTGCCCTCTGGCTCATGCAACCCGTGCCAGGGTGCCAGGGCCTGTGGGCGAGGGTCAGCTCGGCGGAGCCCTGCCATGGCCAGGTGCCACATTTGCGACCCTGTCCCCTCCCTAGCCAGTGGCTACTGCCCAAGCATGGCAGGGCTGCAGATCCTGCATCAGCCGCAGCCGTGCCGCCTGGCTGAGGGGGACACGCTGGTGCTGGAGTGCAGAGCCATCGGCAACCCCCCGCCCCAGTACCAGTGGTTCAGGAACCAGCGCCCTGTGGAGGGTGCACAGGCGCCCCGGCTGCAGGTATGGTGGGACCCCTGGTGTGGCACCCCACGGCACCGCGCGGCACCCCACGGCACGGCGTGGCACCCCACAGCACGCCGCCCCAGCTGCCCTCTCCGTCCCGCCGGCAGGTGAAGCTGGTGACGACAGCCGAGCGGGGCTGCTACTCCTGCCGCGTGTTCAACCTCTTCCACGAGGTGTGGAGCCGGGAAGTGGACGTGGAGATCGGTGAGGGCCCCGGACAAACCTCCATGGGCCCCCAGCCCGCCTGTCCTGGCTCTGCTCTGCCCCCAACATAAAGCCTTCCCATGGCTGCCCCACTGTTTTGGAGGGCTCCAGCCTGCACCGGCTGGTGCTGCTGCCCACGGGGCTCGCTGACCCCCTCTTTGTCACAGGCCCACGGCTCTTTGCCTCCGGAGGCTCCTGGCAGGAGGGGGATAGAGGTAGGTGGGGGTGGAGGGGACAGGTCCCCACTGCTCTGCCCGCTGCACTCCCTGGGCACCGCGGGGCCGTGGCATGGCGTGTCTCTCTTTCCAGGCTCTCCAGAGCACGGCAGTCCCGGCCAGCTGTATGGTAAGAGCCTGCCCAGGAGGGGCTGGTGGGACTGTGACCATCCCCAATGTCCCCAGTGTCACCCCATGAGGCTCTGCATGGCCAGGGGTACCTTGCACACTGGGGGTGTGTATGCTCCTCACATGGAGCAGTGAGACAGGGATGCCACGGGGCACCCTGGTGCCTGGGGACAGTGACACCGGCCACAACCGGGTGTCACCTCTGTGGGCTGAAGGCAGCGGGGACACGTGGCTCCGTCCCCAGTGCCTCCCTCTCCTGTCCTGGCAGCCACCGACAAAGTGGCCCTGCTGATCGGCAACATGCACTACCTGCACCACAAGCAGCTGAAGGCGCCCATGGTGGACGTGCACGCCCTCAGTGCCCTCCTCCGCCAGCTCGACTTCAAGGTGGTCTCTCTGCTGGACCTGTGCAAGGCAGAGATGCAGATGGCTGTCAACGAGTTCCTCCTCCTCCTCGACAAGGGTGTCTATGGTGCGGCAGCATCCAATGGGGTGGCTCCGGCTGGGGGGAACTGGGTGGTTTTGCGCTGGGAGGGGGTCTTGCGGGGCGGCCGGGCAAGAAGTGGGCACCGGCAGGTCAAGGGATGTCACCCACTGTGCCCCGCTCCTGACAGGTTTGCTCTACTACGCTGGGCACGGCTATGAAAATTTTGGCAACAGCTTCATGGTGCCCATCGACGCGCCCAGCTCCTACACATCGGCCCACTGCCTGTGCGTGCAGCGGGTGCTGCAGAGCATGCAGCAGCGCCGCACCGGCCTCAACATCTTCCTGCTCGACATGTGCCGCAAGAGGTGACCCAGCCCCGGCCACCAGCGCGGGGACAAGCTGCTGCTCCAGGAGATCCCGGCACAGGGGTGTCCATGGGTGCTGGTTCCTGGGGGAGCAGAGCCAGGCGTCCCTGGGGTCTCTTCCAGACCCCTTGCCTTTGTCCGGGTGCCCCAAAGCATCACTGCCCCAGTTGAGCTGGCAAAGGCCACAAGGGATGGGCAGAGGGGCACGGGGCAGCCCCCGGGGTCTGGGGTGCCTTGGGGTGGGTTTTGGGGGTCTGTCTGGCCCCAGCTCTGCCCAGCGGCACTTCTCTTGCAGGAACCTCAATGACGACATCATCCCGCAGGTCGGTGCGCTGCAGGTCACGGCCAACATCGTCTTCGGCTACGCCACGTGGGTCCCCTCCCCACCACCCCCTGGGACGGGCAGTGGGGCTGAGTCTCCCTCCCCCGTGCCAAGCAGGGCTGGAGCTCAGCCCCCTGCCATGGCTCTGACCCGTTTGCTCCCCGTCCCGCGTATCGGCCATGTCACACCCCCTGGTCAGGCACGGGCAGCGGGGCTGAGTCTCCCTCCCCCGTGCCGAGCGGGGCTGGAGCTCAGCCCCCTGCCATGGCTCTGACCCGTTTGCTCCCCGTCCCGCGTATCGGCCATGTCACACCCCCTGGTCAGTGCTGGGGGCGGTGGGAGTCCCCCGTCCCTGACAGGGCAGGGAGAGGCCCTGCTCGGCTTCGGGCAGCACCTGAGGAGATGAAGTCTCCAGGCTCCCCTGGAGCACAGGGATTTGGGCTGACAATGATTTAAGCATCCAGGATCCAGCCCTGGCTCCCACCTCTCCCCAGCACGGTGCTTGGGTGGGCGGGCAGGAGCAGGTGGAGCCCTGGGCTGGTGGCTCTGGCTTCCCAGGGCTGTCACCCTGGTGGGGAGTGACCCAGTCCCCGACAGAGCCCGCCGCTGCCCCGTCCCCCAGGTGCGCGGACGCCGAAGCCTACGAGCTGAGCCAGGGCGAGCTCTCCAACGGCATCTTCGTCTCCTTCCTCAAGCGCTGGCTGCTGGAGGATGAGAAGATCACGGTGTTGCTGGACAAGGTGGCAGAGGGTGAGTGGGGAGCGGTGGGGGACGGCGACTACCCTGGCGGCCCCTGCTGAGCCCTCGTTCCCCTGGCAGACATGGGCACTCTGGAGATCACACGGGGCCGGCAGGCGTTGGAGCTCCGCAGCAACCTCTCGGAGAGACGAGCCCTGACAGACCCCATCTGCCCCCCGGGACAGGACGAGTCCTCTGCCAGGAACCTGCAGTGGGCCAAGGCTCATGGTGAGGGACACGGGCCACCCCGTCTGGAGCTGGCACCTGGGGAGGGGACAGTGCTGAGTCGCAGGGAGAGGCGTCGGGCAGCGCCTGCCAGGTTTCTGCCACCCTGCAGGAGAGAAACTGCAGGCACAGAGCCACCAGCTCCGTGTTGGTGTCCCCGCTCCGGGGTGACCCCAGTGGTCAAGTCACGGGCAGGTGCGGCTGTGGCCCTGAGCCCCTGCAGGTCCCAGCCCCACACTCGCTGTCCCCACAGTCCTGCCGGAGAGCCGGCACCTCCGCTTCGACTGCGGCGTCACCGTCCAGCTGGGCTTCGCCGCCGAGTTCTCCAACATCATGATCATCTACACCCGCGTGGTGGCCACCCCCGGGGATGTCACCGAGTGCGAGGCCAAGCTCACCGACATTCCTGAGGTGAGAGCAGGGTGCCGAAGCCTGTGCCAGGGCGATGCCTGGGAATAGGTGGGGGGGGACCTGTGGTGGATTTCACTGCTGGACGCCATCCGTGGCAGGAGCTGGATGTGGACCTCAAGTGCACCAACAAGGAGACCCCGGAGGAGGTGGGCAGCCCGCTGGCGCCTACCTGGAGCCTTGACTGCCCCTCCAGCTGCCTCTACAGCCGGCTCTGTGGCTTGCAGAAACTGCGGGTAAGAGCCACACCGGGTGGGGGGCCAGTGCCGGGAGTGTGGCGTGACCGTGGCCCGGGACGGGTGCCCACGCTGCTGGTGCCTCCGCAGCAGGAGCTGGTGTTCACTGTCTGCCTGCAATACCGCTACCGCGGCATGGACGACTTCGTGGAGGAGAGGCGGGTGGTGAACGTGGGGAAGCCGCTCATCGCCAAGCTCAATCTGCCGCTGGCAGCCTCCCCCTCGCCCCCCGGCAGCCCCCTCGCTGCCTCCTTCCCCGGGAGCTGGGGGGCGGCAGGGGGGTCCTGGGTCAACACCCCTGAGGAGAACCTGAGCCCTGAGGTCTCCGGCTCCCACACCCTGTAAAGGGACAGTGTGCCCCCCCCCTTGTCACTGCAGTCCCCTGGGGTCACATCTGTCCTGCTGGCGAGCGCTGCGTGGGGTGAGCCCCATCTTGGCCTGTGCTGGGGGGTGTGGGGCTCGCTGCACGGCATGACTGGGACCCCTGCCCTCAGGATGCAGCTCAGTGTGCCCCCCCCAAGTACACAGCAGTGCCAGCCCCACTTCCTCTGCTAGGACAGTGCCAGCCCCATGTCCCAGGTCAGTGCCAGCCCCACATCCCCTGGTATGGCAGTACCAGCACCACATGCCAGGTCAGTGCCAACCCTGCATCCCCTGGCATGGCAGTGCCAGCCCCACATGCCAAGGCAGTGCCAGCCCCACGTCCCAGGTCAGTGCCAGCCCCACGTCCCCTGGCATGGCAGTGCCAGCCCCACAAGCCAGGGCAGTGCCAGCCCCACGTCCCCTGGCATGGCAGTGCCAGCCCCACAAGCCAGGGCAGTGCCAGCCCCACGTCCCCTGGCATGGCAGTGCCAGCCCCACAAGCCAGGGCAGTGCCAGCCCCACGTCCCCTGGCATGGCAGTGCCAGCCCCACATGCCAAGGCAGTGCCAGCCCCACGTCCCAGGTCAGTGCCAGCCCCACGTCCCCTGGCATGGCAGTGCCAGCCCCACATGCCAGGGCAGTGCCCAGCCACCTGGGGGGCAGAGTGCCCAGGCCCCACAGCTCGTCTGGCACGAGGCGTCGCGCTGGGGCAGGGCAGGGTTCATTCAGGCCTAGGAGAAATAGAGAGAAATAAGCAGATTAGGGGGCAAATCCCGCGGGAGGGGATTAGAGGGGGTGGGAGCAGGAGGGCTTCTGCTCTGCCACGAGGGGCTGGGGTGCCCCCAGCACTCCCAGTAGCACCCAGTCTTCCCAGTACAACCCTGGCTGCAGGGCTGTGCCAGCCCCATTTGGGCAGCGAGCAATTTCAGGAGAGGATTGGGATCTCGGGAGGGGGGAAATATGCCTTTTTGCTGGATTTTTCCCAAACGTGGCCTCACGTGCGGGCGGCTGCACTGCTGCAGGCAGCTCCAGCGGGGCTCGGCCAGGGGAAGCACCAATAAAGAGGGAAGGGCCGGTGGCTCCGCGCTCCTATGGCTTCCCTGCAGTTAAATGGCATTTTTTGGGATCGGCAGTATTCCCTGCTCCTGCCCTAAGCACAGCGTGGCACCAGGGTGCCTGTGGGAGGGGAGGGGCAACTGGCCCCTCCTGTGAGGGTACCCCAACATCCCCCGCCACCCTGGGGTGTGCCGGTGCCACCCATGCAAATTAGCTCATTTAAATAATTCGCATAACTCCCCGACCCAGGCAGCCGGGGAGATGCATCCTCGTCCTGGGGCCTCTCCGAGCCCTCGCTTTGGGATGGCAGTTGCAAGACCGGAGGGGGGGAGCATCCTCGCCCCAATTAGGCTCTGATCAAACCGGTCGGGGGGTGCCGAGCCCCCCGCTCTCCGCGCCAGCCGGCTTTTGTTGGCGCTGCGGAGGCCGAGGGGTGCCCCGGGCTGGCGCCAGCCTTGGCAATTATGTCATGTGAAAAGCGCAGCCCCCATTGAGCGCGTCCCTTCCCCCGGATCAAACCCCATTACTTCCGCAGCCGTTGCTTCATTATCTCCTCGCCGGAGCACGCCTCTGCCGGGGCCGCTTCACCTCGGCCCTGGCCCATTAGCCGGGCTGGGGAGCCGGGGGAGCATCGATTATGCGTTTAATGGGTTGTTAAAGGTTTAATTGTCACTAACGAAGCAGACGAGCAGCAGCAGCAGCCGGGGGACGGGGGACAGGGAGAAGGGTCTTGCTGGGGTCAGTGCCTTGCCTGGCCCGGTGGCATCCTGGCCTGTTCAACCTGACCCCGGGGCTGTGAGGACGTTGGAGGCCGGTGCCGGTGCTGTTGGGATGGGGGGGACACTCCCAGGGTTGGGGGGCTGCAGCCAGGTGTGCTGGTGCTGCGTGGGGTCTGGCCACTGTGGGGACACGGTGGGGACACAGTGAGGACACTGTGGGGATGGGGCTGCACCGGCAAAGCCCTGGCTTGTGGCTGTTGTTAGGTCTGAAGTGGGAAGGTTTTCTGGGGGAAGATCCCATTTTGAGGTGGGGACAGAGGGAGGAAAGACGGGCGCTTGCCTTGCTTCCCCAGGGACCCAGGACACCCCAGGACACCCTGGGGACTCAGGGCTCCCACTTGCTGAGGCTGAGCCCCAGTCTCTCATGATCCTGGATGGGCTTCAGCACCGTGGAGCCATCGCTGGGTGCTGGTGACACTGGCTGTGACTCCAGCCCCACGGGTGGGCAGGGTCCCCCTGGGGCTGCACACCCACACCAGGCACCCCAGGGAAGCGACACCATGCCAACCACCACCCTGCTCCTGCCTGGCAGGAACACCTGGCAAGGGGTAAACTGGCCTTGGTGCACCCCACCATGGGACCCCAGTGCTGCCAGCTGGCCCCCTCCTCCCTCCAGCCCCATCCAGGGTTGCGGGGGTCTCATGGCCACCCACCTCCCACTGGCACAATCACGGCAACTTCTTGCCACCAACATGTGGTGGGTCGGGTGCTGCTGGGGAGCAATTAGGGCAGGGGGGCGGCAGGCTCAGCCCCTGAGGGATGGCCGAGCAGATGCCCCTCGATGAGCCACATGGCACAACACGGGTCCCAGCCCCCAGCCAGGGCTGGGGAAGGTCACCCACGCCTGGATCCATCCCTGGTCCCTCACGGAACAGAGGGAGCGGGGCAGGAGGGTGCCCCAGGACGATGCTCCCACATCTCCTTAGAAAGCTCCATCCTGGTAGAGGCTCCGCAGCCCCAGCACGTTAACCAGCAGCACTGCTAATGAGCAGCACAACTAACGAGCGTTACGGCAGGCAGGGCCCCGGCAACGCCTGACTCCAGCACGCGGCAGCCGTTCAGCTTACGTCTTTACTCACGATACAACCGTCTTCTCAGCGCCGGCGCATCTACCGGCACAACCGGTGTCACGCCCCGACGCGGCTAAAAGTATCCCCCCCGAGTCCTCCCTATGAAACTAGAGCTTTTCTCTTCAGTTTTGTTTAAATCTGCAGCATTACAAAAAAAAAAAAAAAAAAAAAAAAAATTAATAATAATGGGAAGGGGAAGGTGTGTGGGGAAAGGAGGTGTCTGACCGGGGGCAGTGGGTGCAGTCGGATGCCTGAGCCTCGGCTGGATCCTCAGCTCGGGCTGGTCCCTCAGCAAGGCAGAGGGGCTGTGGGTGCCTGCTGGGGTGTCACCCCATGGTGGGGGCCCACCAGCACCCCACCTTGCTCCCCTGTTACCGACGGCGCTGCCTCAATGGAGGAAGATGCAGCCCAGCATCCCCGGCCCACGCTTTGGTCCTGCTGAGCATCCTACCGTCACCCCCTCGCCCACCCCGGGGCCGAGTCGACACCGGGGGCAAGAGCCAGCAGCTGGCAGGGCCAGAGGGGAGCGGTCATCAAATGGGTTGCCAGGTCTTGTCAATGGTCTGAATGTGCTCCTTGGCTTTCATGCGGAGCGAGGCGATGCTGGAACTCCTCTGGTCCACCTCCTCCAGCGGGTACTTGTCCACAAAGGTGGTGCCGCACTGGTAGGGCGCGGGGGCCATGGGCTGCATGCCCTGCGCCATCGGCGGGGGGGTGTTGAGGAAGGAATGCCCTCCGTAGGGGGGCTGCAGGGCCTGGGGTGCTCCCATGAAGCCAGGGATGCTGTGGACCGTGGTGGCGCTGGAGATGGGGGACGTCAGCCATGGGTCGAGCGGGAGGGAGTTGCTCATGGGCCCCACGTTGGCCGCCATGGGGGGGCGGTTGAAGGAGAGCACAGGAGTGTCGTGGAGCTTCATGGAGCTGGCCTCCATCTTCTCCTGCCGCCTCCACTTGGCTCGTCGGTTCTGGAACCAGACCTGCAAGGTGAGAGCCAGGGTGAGCCCCACTGTGCCCAGCTGGTCCATCACAGCATGCCCCACACGCTGTGCCCCACAAAGGCTGCACCACAGAGATGCTCCAGGTGGGGCATCCTGTATGGGGTATTCCACCCCACGTGGGATGCCCCATGTGGTGGGTCCCACATGGGGTGCCCCACAGGGCTACAGCAATCCCCTGGGTGCCATGCACCTCTGCCAAACCTCTCCCGCAAACCCCAGAGACCTGAGGGCACCTCCCAGGTGTGGAAAGCAAGAGGTGTCACCACACAGCCCCTGCCCTCAGTGCTCAATGGGAACACGCACGCCAGCCCCACAAACACCCCCATGGTCCTTGGTGTAACATTTTCTGCCCTTCAAAATCCACTCAGTAAAACTTCTAGAAGAGAAACTGCACCAAAACCCAGCAGGAACGAGAGGAACCAGTGAGCCAAGGTGACATCTCACCCTGCTGGAGCTGCTCGTTAGAGCGCTGGTCCCCATGTCCCCAGAGCCCCCAGCAGCACGGGCTGTCTGCTGCGCGATGCAGGGGGGGTAAAGATGAAGGGCTGGGCTGAAAAAGGGATGTCCCCAATGGGCTGATCACAGCTGGTGGTGGATACTGGGCTATACTGGTGCAAACTTTGTGTCCAGAGAAGAGCAATGGTGCTGGTGAGGGGTCTGGAGCACAAGTCTTGTGAGGAGCGGCTGAGGGAGCTGTGGGGGTTCAGCCTGGAGAAAAGGAGGCTGAGGGGAGACCTTCTTGTTCTCTCCAACTCCCTGAAAGGAGGGTGTAGCCAGGGGGGGTCGGTCTCTTCTCCCAAGTCCCAAGCAATGGGACAAGAGGAAACGGCCTCAAGTTGTGCCAGGAGAGATTTAGGATGGATATTGGGAAAAATTACTTCACTGAAAGGGTTGTCAAGCCTTGGAGGAGGCTGCCCAGGGCAGTGGTGGGGTTGCCATCCCTGGAGGGGTCTAAAATCCAGGCAGACGTGGTGCTGAGGGACATGGGTCAGTGGTGGTTTGGACAGTGCTGGGTTTATGGTTGGACTTGGTGGTATTAAGAATCTTTTCCAACCTAAATAATTCTATGATTATTAGGAATCTTTTCCAACCTAAATAATTCTATGATTCTGTGCTTCTATGAACCTAGCAATTACTCAGAGAGCTTGGCAGAGGTATCCCTATTGTCTGGACCTCCCTGCATTGTCTTGGACTGGGACTGAGGCCTGGGAAACTCAGTTCATTTGTAAGGGGATCGCTACCTTGCTCCACAGTGGGTTGTTGCTTCTTCAACTCCCTGACCCTTTCCCTCACCATGGTCTTGCCCTGTCAGTCAGGATCAGGCTGTGCCTCCCCCTGCAGACCCTTCTCCTGCAGCCCAGGGAGAGAAACCTCCCCACCCTACTACCCCCCCGGCACCACCCCACTCCAACAGGCCTAAAACCCCCAAATCTGTCAGGATCTTGTGCTTTCCCAGCCCTAAAGACTTGGAAGTGGTCACAAGCGGCTAAGGTTTCCCTGTGCTGGGAGGGACAGGAGCAGCTGCCACCAGCAGGGGACAAAAGTCTCTAAAACCAATCCTCCTGCCCAAATGAAGCCTCTGGCACGTGGGCTGAACTGGGACCTCGCAGGGGACGAGGCGCAGCCCTTACATCCCTTCTCAGGTTTTGGCAGGAGGGGCTGGCTCTGCGGAGATGCTGCTCCTGCCTCCACCAGTGTGGGAACGGAGGCACGGAGGGGCGGTGGAGCTGGGAGCGGAACAGAGCTCCCTGCCCTGGGATTGTCCCTCTGCCACCACCCAGGGGACATGTCTGGGGTGCTGCGGCCACTGGGCATCCTCCCTACCTGCACGCGGACCTCCGGCAGGTTGACCTTCATGGCCAGCTCCTCGCGGCTGTAGACGTCAGGGTAGTGGGACTTCTCGAAGGCGCGCTCCAGCTCGTGCAGCTGGTAGGTTGTGAAGGTGGTGCGGTTCCTCCGGTGCTTCTTCTTGGGCTGCTCCTCCTCAGTGGTGGCTGGTGGGGTGTCCTCACTGTCCCCTGGCTTCCGCAGCTCGCCCAGGTCCCCCTCACACTTATTCACGAACATGGTGGCACCTGCGAGGGGACCGTGGGGGTTAGCCAGGGCGTGGGGACATCGACCTGGCCATCCAACCCTAGGCCAGGGATGGACAGACAGACAAGTGGAGGGATGGACGGGAGGACAGGGCAGCCCCAGAAACAGGTTACGCAAAGGTGTAATCCTCTCTGCTGCTGCAGCGTTATCCCAGGGCTGCAGCGTCCCAGGGACTGACCTGGGGTCCTGGGGACAGAGCTCTGAGCGTCCCCCACTGGGTTCCACCGTGGGATGAGGCCAGGTCAATGCGCCCACCCAAAGCTAAAAGTCAAATTCCACCCAAAGTCAGGGATTTTATGAAAGTGCCATCACTGAGCCAAACCCGTCTTGCCCCTGCCCTGGCGCGGAGGGGACCAAGCCCAAGTCAGCTCCCTCCTTCCAGCCCAGCTCCTCTCCTCCAGCCCCTCTTCCCCATGGACTGTGAGTCGGTCCCCAAACCATTGGAGGACCCAATGCTGGTCCCCAGGAGTGGCTGGGGTGACCCAGCGCTGTCCCCAGGCTAATAACCCTTTTTCTGCACGCTTATAAGCATTTTCAACCCTTGCAACATTTCATCTTTAAGCTTTTTATCCGGCATCTGAAATCTTCCTGCAGTATTTGCTGGGGATTAAGGGTCCCTTTCTACCACAAGGATGTAGGCAAACAGGGAAATGGGGCAGAAAGCCGTAATCCTGGGGCACTTTTGTGAAGGAGAAGGTGCCACATCGCCCGGACACGCTGGCAGAAATTCAGATAGCATCAAAGTGGGTGTGGGGAGGGAGAGGGAAGGACGGTTCATTCTGGGAGGGAATGAATGGGGGTCCCGAGAGGGCGGCGTGCGGGGGCTGGGGGTTGGGTGTTGCACCAGCTGTGCATGTGTGGGGTGTCTGTGCGTGGTGAGTGCCGGTGCGTGGTGAGCGGTGCAGGTGTGAGCAGCGTGTCCACAGCCAGCGTGGTGTGCGGCACGCAGGCCTGGGGTGTGCGGGTGTCATGGATGCAGCACGGGGTGTGTGGGGGGTGTGAAGTGTGTGTGGGGCAGTTTGTGCCGCACACTCGCTGCGTGCAATGTGTGCAGTGCGGGTGCAGTGCCCGTGTGCTGCGTGTGCAGCATGCACAATGCCATGTCTGCACCGGCAACATGCCGGGCACGGTGTGTGTGTGCAGTGTGTGCAGTGCGTGTGCAGCGCGTGTGCAGCGTGCACAACTGACGGTGGGGGTGCAAGGAGCACAGTGCGTGCAATGAGTGCAGGGCACGTGCAGTGTAGGGGGCACAATGTGCATCTGTACACAGAGGGGTGTGCAGTGCGTGGGGACGGTGTGAATCGGTGTGCAGTGTGTGTGTAGTGCACCCACTGCCTGCAGGGCATGCAGCACATGCCGTGCAGTGCAGTGCAGTGCAGTGTATGGTGCGGGTGTGCAGCACGTCCAGTGTCTGTGTGTGCAGCCACCCAGCACGTGCAGTGTGTGCCCAGTGTCCATCGGTGCAGGGTGGTGTGTGCAGGGCGGTGGGTGCAGTGCACGCCCAGGGGCTGTGTGTGCAGTGCTGTGTGTGCAGTGTCAGTGTGTGTGTCAGCTGCTGGCCCCCCAGGATGCCCCATGGTCCCCCCACGGAGTGGGCTGTAGCCCTGGGGGCTCTGGCCAGCTCCAGCTCCATCCCTGCAGGGGGGCACCAGTCTTGGGGTGCCCCGGGGGGGGAGCCGTGAGCTGGGGTAGGGGTGCTGGGTGCCCCATGGCAGGGACAGGTGGGTACTGGGGAAGCAGGGGCCCCGTTGTCACCGTGTGAGTGTTGTGGTGTGTCCTGGGGCTGGGGACATGGGGAGGGGACAGGGTGTCCCCCCGCCGTCCCGCTCTCACTCACCAGCTTCTCATTGGCGCAGCTCCGCACCTGCAAGGAGAGGGGAGAGGGGGTGAGCACCCAGAGCCCCCAGAGCCCCCAGAGACCCCGCCTGCAGCACAGACACCCCTGCGGGACTCAGCACCCCACCAGGGCCCTCCAGCCGCCCTGCCCAGCCATCTCCCTCGGCCCCACAGGACAATGTGGGAGGAGAGCTGGGGCTGAGGGGGAGTGAGGGGAGCTGTGGGGATGGGTAAGATGGGCATTTGGAGGGGGGGGCTGAGGACAAGACGGGGCAAGCAGGAGGGGAGAAGGGGTGGGACAGTGTGGGGGGGACAGGGACAAGGTGTGGTGATGGAGGTCAGGGCCAGGGCTGGGGGCAGCACCCATTGTCCCCCCCCATCCTGGCCCCATCTGAGGGCCAAAACTCTGTGGGAAGCAGAGCAGAGCCCCGCGTGGGAGTGGCGCTGAGGCAAAGAACAGCAAAACAGCCAAGAGGGGAGTGACCCCGCAGCCGGGGGGACAGCACCAGGCACTGAGGGATGGGGGGTGCGAGGGCCAGACCCCCCCCAACCGCACTCTGCCTCTGCCTGGCCAAGGTCACAGATGTCCCTGGCTGGGGACAGGGGGGACCCCAGCGGGGTCAGGTTGGGGGACGTCGACACTGACCACCCCATGGTCCCCATCCTCCAGGGACTGTCCTCGGGAGCCCCAAGCCTTTGCCATCAGCGTTTTGGGAATCCTGCATGAAAGCAGGCAGCCCTGAGCGGGCGTGGGGGGAGAGCTGCCCATCAGACATTTTCCTGTGGCTGCCATCATCCCGGCGGCAATTTTGGGGTTTAAACCCTTAAGCTTTCAAACCGTGCTGGGAACCGCAAGGACCTGAAGCCTCAGGAGGGTGTCCCCCCATCTGCTCGACACCCCCTGCCCTGGTTTTCCTGCGGGGGCTGCCAGCTCAGGAGGGGAGGGGGCACCCGAAAGACACCCAAAACAGCAGCAGAAACAGCATCAAGCCCTGGTTGAAGTGGGTAAAAGAAATTCCTTCCCCGGTGCCAGAAAGCAGCAGAGCATCAGTGAGGACAAGCGGCCTCCCCCAGCAGCAGGGGACATGGAGGGGACAGCCTGGGGCAGCCCCGGATTTTACTGGGTCCCATATTTCTGCCTTCAAAAACCCATCGGGGTGCCAGGATTTTGCCCACCCCCTCCCTCCCCCCCGGCTTGGACCACCTGGGACAGGCTGTTTGCAGCCACCAGCGAGGACAGAGGGGAGCGTGGGTGGCTCCTGTCCTCTGGCCCCGGGCGTAAACGGGCGCAAGTGACGCTGACGGGTCCCCGGCACCCCTTCCCGAGCCCCCAGGGAAAGGTGCCAGCCCCGGCCCTGGCCCCAGGCACACCCCGGGGACACCCGCTCCCTTTTTCACCATCATCCCCCAGCACCTCCTCCCGAATCGGAATAAAACGGCGTTACCTGCTGGGCCCAACTCGGCTTTTCCAGGAGTATTTAACTTTGCCAGTCCCTCCTGGGAACCAAACAAGCGGCTCAACCTCACCAATCTCGCAGCTTTGGCAGCCAAAGTTGCCTCTAGTCTTCTTATTTGTCACAGAACCGCCGTGCTAAGGCTCGGGAGAATCTTTATTTAGTGTTGCAGATGTCACCAAGGCCCCGCAGATTGGAAATGAGTCCAAAGGATTAAGACGAGGTTATTAATTGGAGGCCTTCCCCTTTAAGAATGATTGACAGTTACTTTCTGGACAAGTAATTGCTCTAAATGTCCCCCCAGTGCGGGTCCGGGGGGGGCGGCGGCGGACAAAGCCCCGAACTGCCTTCCCCACTCAGATTGTCTCCCCACAAAGGCGTCCTGCTGGAGTTTGCCTTGTAATCCCCTCATTACGGGCGAGGAAAAAGAATTAGAAACAGGGGGAGCGGAGAAGAAAGGCCGGGGCGATGGGGGGGGAAGGGGGAGGGTTTCCTTGGGCTGCGGAGGCTCTGCCCCGGGGATGGGGTCCAGGGCTGGCACCCCGAGCCTCGGCAGGATGGGGATGGTGCTGTGGTGGGTGCCGTTACCCCCGTGTAGGGATGGCAAGCCTGGGGGTGGCCCCGGTGACAGCATGTGTGGCCCCAGTGATGCTGCCGGCAGAGCCCTGCCCGCGTGGGGACCAGTGATGGGGACCTGGTGTGACAGCCTGCGATGGGCACTGGGCATGGGGACCAGTGATGGGGACCTGCTGTGGGGTCTGGGAGTGGGGACCAGACGTGAGGACCAAGTGTAGAGACCAGCCATTAGGGACCAGGCACCCTGAACAGTCATGGGGATGCAGAGTGGGGAGCAAGTGTGGGGAGCAGCCATGTCCATGGGCCTAAACACAGGAACCAGGCAGGGGGACACCCTGTGGGGTCCAGCTGTGGGGACCATTACTGGGGGCTGCCCATGGGCCCTGGCTCTGAACGTGTGGGGCAAGGTCAGCCAGGCTTGGGGGTCAGAAACAATGTCCTTCCCCTCCACCCCCACTGCTGCCCCAGGGACCCAGGCCCAGAGGACAATGGGAATGTCATGATGGGGGTCCTGGGGTGCTCTGGGTGGGGGGTGCTCCGTGATGCCCAGACCCTCCTGTCCCACCAGGTGAGTTTTGCTCTTTTCTTTCTCCGCTCACTTTTACTTCCTCTTCCTGCCAGCTGCGATCGCTGCCATCCCCGGCCACCATCTCGGCTTCCTCCCACCCCCTTCCTCTCCTCGCCATGGTTCCCCTTTTGGATGGCGAATATCACCACGGGGTTTTTGGACACCTGCCCACCCTGTGATGGGTGGCTGCTTGCCCCATGTGGGTCTGTGCCCTCCCCAGTGGAGATGCTGCCCAGCGGGACCCCGTGGCCACCCCCGTGCCCTGTTTTGGGCCCTGAGGCCACCTCAGCATCCCTCCCGGCTGGGGTCCTTTGCCTGCCCCATCTGGCACTGCTTGGGGGACAGTGTGACACTGTCTTGGGGATGGCATGCCACTATACCGGGGACAGTGTGCCACCACCCCGGAGACAGTGTGGTACCACCCCAGGAACAGGCTGGCCACCATTCTGGGGACAGCATGGCCCCACACCAGGGATGGCGTGACATGGCCCTGGGGGCTACACAGCTCCTGGGAACAGGGTGACCCCCCCACGCCAGGGCCCCACCTGCAGCAGGGGGGTGCCACCTTTGGGGGGTTTGGGGAAATCCCTAGACATTGTGTGGGGCTGGGAATGCAAATGGGCACCTGGACCTGCCGCTTGCCCAGGGCCAGCGCTCATGCCCACGCTGGTCACTGCGGCGCGCACAGGAGTCATGTCTCCTGCTCCGCTGGCCCTTGGTGGCTTCCTCTGGGGTGTCCCCCCCAGCTCTGGTGGGCGCAGGGGGTGCTGCTCTGCTGGGACCGCAGTCCCTGGGGTGCCAGGGTTGGCTTTGGGAGCCGGGCTGCCGGCCCCGGCGCTGCCGGCCGGTCGGTGTGTGCGGTGCCGGCCCCGCTGACCGCCTTAAGGTGTTGGCTCACACGGGGGTGGGGGGGAGGGGGGGGAGGCCAGCAGGCTTATTTGCCAAATGATTATAATTGCCTTTTAGGAGCAGATAGCAAATTGATTTGCTTCCTCGTCCAAGGCCCGTAATCGCTTCATCACTTTAAAATATTAATGCTATACTTCTTTGCTAGTTTCCCAATTACCCTAATTGAAGGCAAATTGGTTAAGAAGGTGCAATGCAGAGTATCAGGGGGTTTAGTTCACTCAAATGACAGTTTTAAACCTCCCTAATCCTATTAGCGGGCAAAGCTGCT